AAAAAAATACTTCCCTGGGTGATCAGGGATTTATGAATGGGTGGGGAGGTCCTTCCAACTGCCATGGCGGTGGTATACCTCCCCTGGTATTAGTGTGCAAAAATTGCACATGGGCTCTCTGCATAAATCTTTTGGCCAGCACTGAAAAAAACCAATCTTTCTCTCTCGGGTTTGTGACACGGATATTCATCTGCTGTCTGATGAATTTAACCGCATCAATTGGAATGTTGAGGGGTAAGGCGAACATCAAAAGAGTTGTTTCATACGACACCTTGTTACGATTCCTCAGTGGCATGAGGTTGCTGCTTATGAAATTGTACCATGGCTTATACTCAGGCCTTAATTTGGATGCTGGGAAATACTTCAACAAAACAATGGCCAGTCGTTCAGGTTACATTAGCAGGGTCAGAACATAGAAGATATGGTAGTTCTTCCTCTAGAATGTCGTCCATGGCATTATATTTCCCATCTGAATAGTTGAAACCAACCTCCGGGAGTTGCAGGACATCTCTAATGGCTTCTATGCTGATGTCGACCACTTGCGCTCTTTCTGTAATCGCATCTCCTAGGTCTCCTCTCAAGTTGCTGTAGAATTCTCGAACAACGCTTAGACTAGGTCTGGTTGTAACAGTATAAAACCCTTCCACTGATGTATTGTTATGTAGGAATTTTGATCTCGGTGACCTATCATGCCTAACTTTGTGATTGCCTGGCGTTCCCAATTTCGCCGGAAGAATTCTGCTACTATTTAATTGACGACCAGACATGAAACTGCTATATTCTGGATGATGTTCCAGTGGGCTGCTCTGTCTTCTTTGGTTGGTTGCCCTTCGAGATTTGGTGGAATCAATGCCATCCCGGGTAGTAATACAACGCTTCTCCTTGCTTGTTGCCTGCTTCCGACCATCCAGATCTCTAGTTATGGCTTTGCGGATGTATTTATTGGTGGAGGGAACGGTTTTGAAAGATGAAGTGGGGCATGTGAAGCTGGATGAATGCCAAAGTAATTGAGGGCATGGGTTGCAGTTTTGAAAAAGAAGAGAAGCGTTTATGCATCTCCGTCATTTATTCCTTACTCCTCTGCCCACCAATCATATTAGAGGCTTTGAGAATGAATTTCCCTCCTCCTCTTTGCTTTGAGGCAATTTTTAGGAGAATTTTGACTTTTGTTTTGCTTCCAGTTGAACTCCTCACTCTCGTGAGTGGAATATGTCACTCGACTAAGTGACTATACTTCTTCAAACCAGAACACTAGGTGTATGATGATTTGCAAGTTTTTATTGATCAATCATCTCAGTCGTGAAAGTGAGTTCGTCACTCGCCCAAGTGAGACGGCCGATCATTGTCCCGTGCTTGTGTTAGATAATTAAACTGAAATGTTGCCTTCTAATCATAACATAGTCTACAAGGCACTTCAGGTTAACCATCCACACAATCCATCTGAAAATTTCTGATAAGAGTGATGCCACTCTTTCTGATTGCTACCAACAGATTGATTAATAACAAAAGATGATTAATTAAAATTAAAAAGAACAAAAAAACTCACCTTGGGTTGCCTCCCAAGCAGCGTATTGGTTTAAAGTCTCATGCCCAACTCATTGATGCTTCTATTCTGCCTTTTTGAGTTGCAACACCTCCTTATGCTACATCTATGGTTACTGAACTGAGCTGTGTGCTTCCCCTCTATTGGGATTTTCCAGTGTGTCACTTGGAAGTGTTCCAGCATGTCTGTCTAGCATACTCCTCTCTATATTTTGCCACTTGATTCTGCATATCTTTCACAGTTGCATGAAGACTAGCAAGAACATTACCTACCTTAATCTAGTCTTTCTCCTTGACTCTGAATGGTTGATTCTGAAATCCAGGTGGTTGAGCTAGTCTATGATAGCTCAATTGCTGGTTAGTCTAGTTGTTGTTCTGTTGAGGCCTCCAATTGTTGTAATTGTTGAAACCTCCTCTGTCATTTCCTTACCTTATGAACTGGACTTCCTCCATAGTTACTTGACAGTTTGAGCTGTTGTGAGACCTGTACAGATTTCACAGACATCAGCTTTTGGCTTGTTGATTTCAGCTCTCAACTTTGATATCTCATTGGTGATGGCTGTCATCTGTGCTTGCAATTGAGTTGTAGCATCAAGCTCCAACACTCCTGCCTTCTTAGCTGTAGCTCTAGCCTCTTTCTGCCACCTGAAACGATGCACAGATATTTTCCAACAGCTGAATTACTTCTTCAACTGGTTTCATCATGAATGCTCCTCTTGATGAAGAATCAAGCTATTCTCTGGAGGCTTGCTACAATCCAATGTAGAAAGTACACAGCTGTATTGGCTTCTCTACGCCATGTTGAGGACATTTCCAAAGCAGATCCTTAATTTTTTCCCAAGCCTCATAGAGAGTTTCTATCCTCTGCTGCTAAAAAGTCATGATGGCTGATCTTAAAGCAGCAGCTTTGACAGTTGAGAAAAACTTGGTAAGGAATGCTTGTCTGAGTCCATTCCAGGAATTGATCTTGTTGGGCAGAGTGTCCAACCATTTTGCTGCTAAATCCTACAGAGTGAATGGAAACAGTCTAAAGTAAATCTCATCTTTGGACAAAGATTGGATTTTGAATCTACTGCACAATATCAGAATTTCCTGATGTGCTCATTTGGATCTTCAGTAGGCAGTCCATAGAAGGGACAAACAGCTTGCACCCATTGAATCGTTTGAGTTTTGAGCTCAAAGTTCTCTACTGCAACATCATTCTACACAAGTGGAGTCTGAACTTCCTCCTCTTGAGGTAGAAAATAGTCTCGAAGAAGTTTGGGTTGAGCTGGTTGCACCCCTCCTTCTCGATTTTGATTAGTTTCTGCCACCTCTGCCATTGGCTTCTGGTCTTCTTTAGGAACGTGGGCAGCAGCTTCTCTGTTTCGCAAGGCCTTTGATTTCCTCGCCTTAACTTCACTTTTTTGGATCAAAACTCAGCTTTCCAGAAAAGATTACTTCTAGTCATAAACTAGATTTTGAAACTTAATAGTAACAATAACAAGCTTTTCTAGTGTATATAAATTTTGGGTAAAGACAGTACTAAAGAACAAAAATAAACACAAAAATCAGAAATTAAGAATTTTTAACGCCATCCCCGGCAGAGGCGCCACTTTTGGTGAATGAATCGTTGACACTCCCAAAAGAAATATATAATAACCTACTTAAAACTATTAACTTGTGGTAAGCAGGGTCGTTCCACAGAGACGGTAGTTAACCGCTTAAATTTTGATTATTGTGCAAAACAAGGAAAAAACAAGCTGAACAGATTTGTCATTTGGAAGAGTGAGAATAGTCACTTGACAGAGTGAACAGTAGAAGGGTCAATCAGCATCCTATCTTTATGTTCCAGTTTTGATTCATGTAATCTTGTTGTGTATGATTTATTGTTTGATCAGGCACAAATATTCTTCATAATTTCTCTTAGACAGAAAAAAGAGTCCTAGATTGACCAAATTACATACCTCTCAGTCAGTGTAATTCACTAATTTCTGGAAAACTTTTTAATTGCAGCTATCTCAATTATTTTAATTTTTGGTTCAACTAAATTTTCAAAGTTTTTATTGCTAGAATAATTTAATATAAAATCAAAAGTTGAAATTCGACTCTCTTGGAATTCAACCTCATTCCACTATTTCCACAAATTAATTTTTGGTCTATCTAGAATTCAGATTAATTTTTGCGGGTTTCGACAAATCCGTCAAAATTTTATCGCCGTTGCCGGGGGGCCATCTCTTTTATTTTGCTTTTGTTTTGATTTCTAATTTGTATAAATTACGGTTTTAGAAATTAAAACAAAAGCAAAATAATGAAAAAATCTATGGTTTTTGTCCAAGAACTCGTTGACTAATAAAATCACATGTCACTCAGACATCTCAATATAAAATCAAATAGTATGATTCCAATGTGCCGAATTCATTTTCTCAATTTTGAATTGACAATCCTAAACCAAAATCTTGAAGTGACTTGAGGTCACGGCGCTTCAGGTCACAAAATCCTTTTAAAATATTCACTGAGGTTTCATGCCTTTAGAATCAATATGCACCAACTTCAGGCGGTGGTAGGATTAAAATATTCATTGAGACTTCAGGCCTTCAGAATCAATACACACCAACTTCAGGAGTGGTAGAAACTCTTTGGCTAGAATCTTGTGCTGATAACGTATTATAAAATTATTGCTAAACAACTAATATGAAACTAAGCATAAGAACAAGAGAGACATAAGAGAGTAGAGAGAGATAAGATACTTATATTCAGATGTATTTTGAAACATGAATGAGCTCCCTATTTATACACGAAGTAGGAGATCAAACTGTGAGAAATGAACCTCCTATCATTAATACTAAATATTACAAAATTATATCTTCTTGATTGTGAATGAAATAATATATATTAATTGTGCATATTCAATCAAATCAAATCAAATATTTCATAACAGTGCAAGGTGTTTTTTTCTTTTTTTTTTTAAGTTCCAAGAAATAAACAGGGCCTAGTGGGACGTGGATATGAAACAAGCTTCATGATTAGCCCATACACATAAGCCCACAAGAAAAGTGACCAAAACCCAAAACAATACAATAACGACTCCTGCTCAAACACTACTGTTTTTTTTTCCGTTTAAACAAATATTTCGGTTTGAAAATAAAAATAGAACCGTTTTCCTTTTATTTTACCGAAACAATCCTCCCGAGAAGAAGGAAAAATTACCACTTCAAACAGCGATTCAAGGGCGGTTAATCGACGCTGGCAAGAGGATGAAGAAAATAAAGTTGGATTCCGACCAGGTGCCCGAAATCAATTACCTCCCAATCGATTTAATCTTGTGCTTGCTCATATTCCTTCCGGCAAAAACCCTAATGCGATTCAAAACCGTCTGTAAATCATGGTATTCCTTGATTCACGACTCGTATTTCTCCGAATCCCATCGCACCAATCACGCGGCCCGACCTGATTCCTCGCATATCCTGTTTCATGTCATGGGCAAAGGTCCAAACCCGCAATGGATGATTTATCCGGCAAACCCTGAGAATGCAGTTTCGACGAATCAGCTTCCTTGTCACACAAGTTATTATTACACTGGTGCAGAACCTTGTATAAGTCTTGAAAAACCTTTTACCAACATTGTCAACGGCTTAATCTGTATATGGCACAAGAATCCACGGCAAATGGAATTGCTCAATCTGACCACCAGAGAAAGAATGGCTCTTCCTCTTCCTCCTGGTAATCAAAAAGGTAAACCGACTTTTTGTTTGGGATTTGACCCGGTTAAGAAACAGTATAAAGTACTCGGGTCTTCTCACACGAGAAAGAATCGTTACGTTATGACGCTAAGCAATGATATGTCATGGAGGAAAGTTGCTAATCTTCCTCGGGTTCCGATTTCGAGAAGCCACACTTGTGTTGACGGCGCAATCTTTTGGAGAAAAGATTTATATGAGGGAGGTAGGAGAGAAGTTCAGTATTTTGATATTGCGGAAGAGAGGTTTAAGTTGCTTAACATTAAAGAACAAGTAGGTTTGAAATACTTTGATATGAATTTCGTAACAGATATTGGAGGGAAGTTCACTTGGGCGGGATTACTCAGGACTAGTAATTTACCTGAGATTCGTATAACATTGTGGACATTGATCAACAAGCATGATCTGGACTGGGTTGAGTCTCAAGTTCAGATCCCGAAATGCCGGATCCCTAGAAAAATTATTTCATTCAGAAACATTAGCATAGTTGGTTGCACAACAGATTCAAGCAAGGTCCTGATAAAATCATCTTTGAATACGGGCAATCAAACTCGAGATTCTCTGATCTTTTATAATTTGGAGACGCAAGAGTTTAGAACTGTGCAGCTGCGGTTTGAGGAGATGAAGTTGTCATCTAAGATCATTGGATTTGATGTCAGTTTTCATGTCGAAAACATTCTTCCTTTGAATTTTTCAAATGTACCACCATCAACAGTTAGTTAATTAGCGAGGATGGAAAACTACATTTGGATATTTGTTGTTAAGAAATTTTTGTCTTATACTTTCTCTGTCCCAAAAAAATAATTCACAGAGATAGTAAAAAAAAAAGCTATACCTCTTTCAAAGAGGTTTGATATTTTATTTGTTCTGAGGTAGTATAACATATCTGTTATACTTCCCCTTCCCACACGATAATAAATTAAGAATTTTTTCCATTAAGATAATAAAGAGGTCTAACGTTTTGTGGTTCATTCTGTAGTTGTACATGTTTAGTTGAAGAGATGTTACAATTCTTTTTATTTGGGACGGGGAGCATTTTTTTTTCCCCATTTTTTGCTTGTGAGAAAATTGATCTATGTCGAGATTGGTTGAACAAGTTATATGTGCGGATTATGTTTTTTTTTTTTTAAATGCAAAAATGCATCTGCAGAGTAATCTTTAACTTTTTGTCAACGGCCTAGTCTATGCTTATGGCATCGGGCATGGGATTGGAACGGATACCAAGTCGAATTGCTCAATTTGACGGCTAGGGAAAAGATTAGATCTTCCTGTTACGCCATTTAATAAATAATAAGCCATGTGGTTACTTGGAATTTGCCAGTCTTCATCTCATAATCAGTCCTAATTGTTATAAGACAAAAATTTTAGTGTTAATTTGTGGCTTATAATTAGAGGAGAGCAATATAAAGCACTTTTCTTATACATTCATCATTACTTCGAGAAGCGATATGTCATAGCGTGAAACGGCAGAAGTCTCTGGTTCAGAAGTTAGGACTTAGGACTGGATAGATGGAATAAGGTCACGTGATATGCTTAGGTGGTGCAATCTATTTGAGCAATCTATTTGGAATAAGGTCACCCTTTACATTATTATTTGTAAAGGGTGAAAGATGAGTGCAATACTTTGACATTGCAGAGGAGAAGTTTAAGTTACTTCCGATTCATGATCAAGTATATCCCTAATTAACGCTTTGGTTTGGAGTCGGTAACAGAGAAATTGGAGGAAATTTTACGAGGGCGGGACGACTCAAGTCAGCTGAGATCATGCTGAAATGATGTTGTGGACACTCAACAAGCTCGATTTGGTCTGGATCAAGTCTGAAATATGACCTACCGAATTAGTTTACTTCTCACATTAGGATCATTGGCACCACAATAATGCAGGAGATTGGTGGTTAACAATACTGCAATGAGTTTTTAGAGATATTGCTTAATTTTACCGCATGCATCGGGGTAATTATTTATGTTCTCTATTTTGTAAGGATGATTCTACTTAAATTTTCAGTTTTAACAAAAATTTCAAATTGGACATTATTTTCAAAGGGAGATGATAGTAAACTTAGGCCACGTAACACAGCGACGCAGCATTATACTAACTTTGTAGGCGGGGGGAATTCGATGGTACTCAACTAGCTGAAAATAAGAATCACAAATCCAATCGGCGCTTTGAATTGGTTACTTAAAAAGATATACTCCCTCCGTCCCATAATTATTTCCACTTTATCCAAAAATTTTTGTCTCAAAATTATTGTTCATTTGACTTTTTATGGATCAAGTTACACATTTGTCCTTAGTATTATCCATAAAATCTTAGTGGTTAAACAATTACTTATGTAGGGGTATATCCAGTTGTTTAAGGTAAAATATAATTAAGTTTGACCAAAAATAAAATCTTTAATTTTAGTAAAACTGGACAATAATTATGAGACGGAAGGAGTAGTATTTAAGACACCAAATCAAAAAGGACAACGTTAAACCAGATACATGCATGGTAAAACTTGATCTACTATACGATATTGGCCAATAAAAAAATTCGCTCAACCCCGATAAATTTACAGTAACGAAATGTTATTGTTTTATTTTTTTTCACTCGCCTTTTGTTTTAGGTCAACAAAATAATCTTTTCTTTTTTACAACGAATGGAATTAGAAAAGGGGAGAGGGGACTATGTTATCGTTAAAAGGAAACAAATATTTTCAAAGAGAACATGGTGCCAATTTTACCTTCACCCCACACCGACCCCCCGCCGGCGTAAATGATGTAATAAGTAACTAAATAGATCCTGCGTAATCACGAGTTCCTCGTTAATTATTTTTGTGTATCATCGGTGTTATTGATAAAGATAAATTTAAATAAAAAAACTACAAAAGTAAATAGTTTTTACTTAATGAACACTGTTTATGAGTATATACAAATATAGTCATTATTTGTTATTTACTATTACTAATTAACACAAATTATTTGTTGAAATTTCTTGTTACATGATAGAGAAGAGGGGGAAAATGCGAGAAAGGAGTTAGGATTGGAAGAGAATGGGTAAAAGCCAAAAAAGAACATGTATGTTGTGAAAAAAATTATCTAAACAGGCATTTGTTTATTACAAAACATAGAAATCGATGCACTGCATAAAGAACAAAGTTGCATGCAACATTAAACTAAGGAAAAGGGGTTTTAAAAAACTAAGGAAAAAGGAAAAATTTTGGCACATCAATCAGCCAAACTAAGTTTGGTAAAATAGAAAAATAAAATTAATTCTAAATTACTAGAAAATGACACATCAGTTGGAGTTGATAAAATGGACAGGAAAAGAGTATAATGGACTTTTTAAGGGGTTCTGTTTTAGTATATAGAATGATATTTGAACTACTGTCCTATTTATTTGAAAAAAGACATAAAGGAAAGCGACAAATAAGGGGCGGCCGGCTGCCATTTAGCCCAAAGGCGTGAGAGAATTGAATTGATTAGACAAAAGGCGTGAGTTACACACGGCTTATTACAAGGACGCGTAGAGACATACGCGTGTTGCTTCCTAACGCTTTGTGAATTTTTAATTAAGTTAAAATATAGATTCTTTTTGTTTATTTAATTGGGAGGAAGTTGCCTTGCCGCATTATCAATCCCTATTGTTTTTGTTTGGATTGTTAGAGATATCTTGCAAATTGCAATGAGCTGGCGGCCCCCCTTTAAAAGAAAGTCGGCGAATTTTGGAATATTTTTTTCAGCTTTCTGCATTTTCTTTGTTATTATAACAAGCTTAAATTTCTCCTAGTTGGTGGAATTTTGGGAGTTTTTAAAAAATTCAATACCGCCCACCCGAAAGTCCTCCTTTCTTCTGAGTTTCAGAAGACCAAATCTACACGTTAAATTAGAGGGGAAAAAAATTCGAATCCCGTTTTTTTTATTTCGTTTTTTAATCACTTTATATTCTTTTTCGGCCAGTAACACTATTAGCCGCCTTTGTCTCCTCCCACCATTACTCTCCACTAGTGACTAGACTAGACTAGACTGTTTGTGTTTGTTTATCCATTTTTCTTAGTTAGTCCATGTCATAAATATAAATATGTAACTTCCCCCTTTATCTTTTCTTCTAAAATACTTCTTCCTTTGTGCCCAAAATGATTTATTTGAAATGTTTTTATCCATTTCAATTTACTTTAGTTGAAACGGTCTCTTATCAATATTCATATTCTTATTTCTTTATTATTATTGTTTTTATACTTTCCTCTCACACCCATCCAATTTAATCATTATCAAAAGATTGGGAAGCTTGAAAATAGGTTAACTCCAAATAAAAGTTGTTAATAGGGTTCCGAGGTTTGATGATCGCACAAGGTTAGCCATATGTGAATCTCCTAATATAATCAGAATTTCTAAAGATTGAAATGAAAAGTTATCTATCTATATCTATATCTATATCTATATTCTATACTATACTAAGGCAAAAACCAGAGAGAGAAATCTAAAATTAAGGCACACATGCCACATAGGATTTTATACTACGTGGCATTTTCTTAATTTTCTAGATATAAAAATGCACAAAACAAAACAATAAAAACCAAAAAAAAAACGCAACTGAAAAAATCCAAACTCTATATTGATTCGACCAAATCCATGCAAACCGATGGATGGATCTCTTCCTCCTAAAAAAAAATGCAACTGAAAAATAATTTTATATTAATAATTTATTAAAATAATTAAAGAAGTTAGGCCAACCTGAAACTTCTATAATTTAGCTTCAAATATAGAATTGAGTTAAAATACTATGGTGATGGGTTGATGTAGCAGGGCTAAGAATGGCTCTGGCAAAGAAAAAAAATATTAAAAGATTTCAACTATGGCTATTCTTTCTTTTTCTTTTTTAACGTTTTGAAATCCAAATTTTTAGTTTATCTTTCTTGAACCTAAATGGCAAAATGTACATACATTAGAAATAAATATACTAATTTATACATGAATCAACTACTACTCGCTAAGTAAGGAGGTCTCAACACTCCGGATCTCACAAAAATGGTCTGAAGATGGATCGAAAGCAAAATAGCTGAGAAGCTGTTTGTTTTGTCATGCAGAAACAGAATCAAGAAACGGCTTTGAATACTGACGAAATGGTTCTTCTCGAATGCTGATAAAATCCTGATTCTAACGGTGCTATTTGTTTTGAAATCTAGAATAGTTTGATTATTACCTCTGTTTCGCTAATCTTGGTAATGAATTTCAAGTTCAGGTTGTGCTCATCATTCCATTGAAAATTTGCATAGATTTTTTATGCACACTACATTCCAACAATGGTACAATGACTGTTGAATTGGTTATCTACTTAATTTGTTTTATTCCAGTTTCTATTTCATAAAAAAATATTTGTGCTTTTTAATAAGATAAATTTATTTGTCTAATCGTGTGTGACTGCTAAATGTTTCGTGTTTTCAACAAATATTAAGGGGTCTATGCGGCTAAATATTGGGCTCTTAATTTTTTGTTCCTTTTTTTCCTGAAAAGAATATATATATATATATATATATATTATAGTAAAGCAAACTCCAGAGATAGAAAATCTAAGGTATCGTATCATGCCACATACGACTAAATCTTATGTGGCAAATTTATGATTTTTTGAACCAAATTTTTAAATTTTTTTTAAAAAAAATCTAACTTTTATTCGAAAAAATATGAGCAGGATGGATTTGACATTTGCGAAAGTGTTTAGAAAGATATTAATAAAGAAAAAA